CGGCGTGTGCCCAGGGGGGCAAGAAAGCCAATGGCATCCTGGCTTGTATCAAAAATAGTGTGACCAGCAGAAGTAGGGAGGGGATTGTGCCCCTGGACTCAGCACTGGGGAGGCCACACCTCGAGTGTTGTGTCCAGTTTTGGGCACCTCAATCCAAGAGAGATCTGGAGGTGCTGGAGCGAGTGCAGAGGAGGGCAACGAAACTGGTGAAGGGCCTAGAAGACAAATCATATGAAGAGTGGCTGAAGGAGCTGGGGCTGTTTAGTGTGAGGAAGAGGAGGCTGAGGGGAGACCTCATCACTCTCTACAACTACTTGAAAGGACACTGGAGAGAGGTTGGGGCTGGTCTCTTCTCACAAGTAATTAACGACAGGAGAGGGAATGGCTTCAAGCTCCAACAGGGGAGGTTTAGGCTGGACTTTTGGAAACAATTCTTCATGGAAAGAGTGGTCAGAGACTGGAAGAGGCTGCCCAGGGAGGGGGTGGAGTCCCCATCCCTGGAGGTGTTCAAGAGTCATTTAGATGTGGGGTTGGGGGACATGGTGTGGGGGAGAACTTTGTAGAGTGGGGGAGATGGTTGGACTCAATGATCCCAAGGGTCTCTTCCAACCTCAATGATTCTATGATTCTATGACCCCCATGTTGAGTTGGGTTGGGTTGAGCTCCTCCTCTCGCTCCCTTGATGTGCCAAAACCTTCCCCCCCAACTATTTTTTGGTGGGGATGTTGGGGTGGGTGGTGACACCCGTTGTGCCCTTCGTGTGTGTGTCCCCCCCACTTCCCTCCCCTCCCCTCTGCAGCATCGGAGGCTCCATCCCCATCGTCTTCTCCTACTTCTCGGAGTTCCTGGCGCAGGAGAAGCGCGGGGAGCACCTGAGTTGGCTCTGCATGTTCTGGATGATCGGGGGCATCTACGCCTCCGCCATGGCTTGGGCCATCATCCCCCACTACGGTAAGAGCCTCCTTGGGTGTGTGTGGGGGTCGGAGCGTGCGATGAGTTTTAGGGGGGTGGTCTCAGCCCCATCAACCATCTCCTGTCTTGTTCTTGGTCCCGTCTCCCAGGCTGGAGCTTCCAGATGGGCTCCGCGTACCAGTTCCACAGCTGGAGGGTCTTCGTCTTGGTCTGCGCCTTCCCCTCCGTCTTCGCCATCGGGGCGCTCACCACCATGCCCGAGAGCCCCCGCTTCTACCTGGAGGTGAGAAGAACCTGGGGGACGCAGGGCCGTATCCTGCTGGGGGGGCTTGGGGTGCAAGCAGGGACCCCGAGTGGGTGGTGGGAAGGTGGGGAGCCGGGCAAGATCCTCAGCTGGTGGTGGAGATGGTGGGACCCAGGGCAGGGACCCCCAAGTGGGTGATGGAGATGGGGGGAACTGGACAGGGAACCCCAGGTAGGTGGGGTGGACCCAGGCAAGGACCCCCAGGTGGGTGGTGGGACCTCAGCAGAGACCTTGAGTGGGTGATGGAGCAAGGGGAACCCAACTAGGGACCTCTAAGTGGGTGGTGGGACCTCAGCAGGGACCCTGAATGGGTGATGGAGATGGAGGAACCCAGGGAAGGACCCCAAGTGAGTGGTGGAGATGGGGGGGAACTGGGCAGGGACCCCCAAGTGGGTGGTGGGACCTTTGAGTAGGTGATGGAGAAGAAGGGACCCAACTAGGGACCTCTAAGTGGGTGGTGGGACCTCAGCAGGGACCCTGAATGGGTGATGGAGATGGAGGGACCCAGGGAGGGACCCCAAGTGGGTGGTGGAGATGGGGGGGAACTGGGCAGGGACCCCCAAGTGGGTGGTGGGACCTTTGAGTAGGTGATGGAGAAGAAGGGACCCAGCTAGGGACCCCCAGATGGGTGGTGGGGTGTGGGCGGGGACCCTGAGTGGGTGATGGAGATGGAGGAACCCAAGCAAGGACCCCAGGTGGGTGATGGAAATGGGAGGAACTGGGCACCCAAGTGGGTGGTGGGACCTCTGAGTAGGTGATGGAGAAGGAGGGACCCTACTAGGGACCCCCAGATGGGTGGTGGGGCATAGGCAGGGACCTTGAGTGGGTGAGGGAGATGGAGGGACCCAGGGAAGGACCCTCAAGTGGGTGATGGAGGTGGAAGGACCCAACTAGGGACCCCCAGATGGGTGGTGGGACCCAGGCAGGGATCCCAAGTGGGTGGTGGGATTTCAGTTGGGCCTCTGAATGGGTGATGGAGGTGGAAGGACGTAACTAGGGACCCCCAGGTGGGTGGTGGGACCCTGAGCAGTTGATGGAGACGGGGGGACCCAGGCAGGGACCCTGAGTGGGTGGTGGGACTGGGACAGAACTGGTCCTGGGGTGACCCCGGGCTCTTCCTTGCAGAACGGCAAACACGACGAGGCCTGGATGGTGCTGAAGCAGGTCCACGACACCAACATGAGGGCCAAGGGCCACCCCGAGAGGGTCTTCTCGGTAAGTTGTCCCCCCCACCCCACCCTGGGGCTGAGCCTTTGGGCACCCAACACCCTGGAGGAGGCTCCAAATCTTCACCTCCAGGAAAAGCACCACCTGGAGAGGGGTTCAGTTTACCAAGGGGGGGGAAACTGAGGCACGAGGTGGGGACGGGTCTCACCTGGGACCCTTGGCTGAGGCTGGTGCTTCTTGGTGTCCCCAAACTTTGTGTCCCCTCCCACCCCACCTCCCCACAGGTGACCCACATCAAGACCATCAAGAGGGAGGACGAACTCATCGAGATCCAGTCGGACACAGGAACGTGGTACCGGCGCTGGCTCGTCCGATTCCTCAACCTCTCCCAGCAGGTGAGGCCAGGTCCTGTCCTGGTTGGGGGGGGGACACGGACACCCCCACTCCCCACAGTGTCCCTTTGTCACCTCCCGTGTCCCCCCCACCCCTTATCCCTCCCCCCCTCTAGGTCTGGAGCAACTTCCAGCAGTGCTTCGCCCCCGAGTACCGCCGGGTGACGCTGATGATGATGGCCGTGTGGTTCACCATGTCCTTCAGGTGGGACCTGGAGGGGGGACACGGACACCCCAGGGGGGCTGTCACCCCACGGCACCCCGATGGGGCTGGCAGCACTGGGAGGGGAGTGGGATGGGACTGGGAGCAGTGGGGTGGGACTAGGGTAGGATGGGCAGCACTGGGATGGGAGTGGTGGCACCAGGATGGGACTGGGATGGGACGGGCAGGACTGGGATGAGATTGGCAGCAGGATGGGCAGGACTGGGATGGGATGGGCAGGACTGGGGTGAGACTGAGATGGGACTGGTAGCACTGGGATGGGACTGGCAGCACTGGGATGAGACTGGGATGGGACTGGTAGCACTGGGATGGGACTGGCAGCAGGATGGGAAGCACTGGGATGGGACTGGTAGCACTGGGGTGGGACTGGTGTAGGATGGGCAGCACTGGGATGGGACTGGTGGCACTGAGATGGGACGGGGATGGGACTGGTAGCACTGGGGTGGGACTGGGGTAGGATGGGCAGCACTGGGATGGGACTGGTGGCACCAGGATTGGACTGGGATGGGACTGGTGGCACTGGGATGGGACTGGCGGTGGGACTGACGGGACTGGGATGGGACTGGTAGCACTGGGATGGGACTGGCAGCAGGATGGGAAGCACTGAGATGGGACTGGTAGCACTGGGGTGGGACTGGTGGTGGGACTGATGGGACTGGGATGGGACTGGTAGCACCAGGATGGAACTGGGATGGGACTGGTGGCACTGGATGGGACTGGGATGGGACTGGTGGAACTGGGAAGGAGGGGACTGGGAGGGTGGGGAGGTGGGGGTGCCCGGGCTGAGCCCCCCCTGTCCCCGCAGTTACTACGGGCTGACGGTCTGGTTCCCGGACATGATCAAGCACCTGCAGAACATCGAATACGCCTCCCGCACCAAGCTCTTCACCCGTGAGAAGGTCCGACACTTCACCTTCAACTTCACCCTGGAGAACCAGATCCACCAGGGCGGAGAGTACTTCAACGACAAGTACGTCCTTGGTTGAGGTTGACGTTGAGGTTGACGAGGTTGACGTTGAGGTTGACGAGGTTGACGTTGACGTTGACGAGGTTGACGTTGACGAGGTTGACGTTGACGAGGTTGACGTTGAGGTTGGGGTTGACGTTGAGGTTGAGGTTGGCGTTGAGGTTGTTGAGGTTGACGTTGAGGTTGGGGTTGACGTTGAGGTTGAGGTTGGCGTTGAGGTTGGCATTGAGGTTGACGTTGTTGAGGTTGAGGTTGACGTCGTTGAGGTTGACGTTGACGTTGTTGAGGTTGAGGTTGACGTCGTTGAGGTTGACGTTGACGTTGACGTTGACGTTGGGTGGGAGGTGGGGGTTGAGCTGAGGCCGGGCCCGCTCGTTGCATGAGTGGAGGTGAGGAGCCAAGCTCTTCCTCCTTCCCCCCAAATCCAACCAGGTTCATCGGCCTGAAGATGAAGTCGGTGACGTTCGAGGACTCGCTCTTCGAGGACTGTTACTTCGAGGACATCACCTCCAGCAACACCTTCTTCAAGAACTGCACCTTCATCTCCACCGTCTTCTACAACACAGGTCAGGATGGGGCCTCAGGGTGGTGGGAGTGAAGGGTATGGCCATGAGGTGGGGAGGTGACCTCGATGAGCCCCCTTCTCCATCCCAACAGATCTCTTTGAGTACAAGTTCATCAACAGCCGGGTGGTGAACAGCACCTTCCTGCACAACAAGGAGGGCTGCCAGCTGGACTTCAGCGACGACAACAACGCCTACATGATCTACTTCGTCAGCTTCTTGGGCACCTTGGCCGTCCTCCCCGGCAACATCGTCTCCGCCCTCCTCATGGACAAGATCGGCCGCCTCCGCATGTTGGGTGGGCATCCCCGAGGAGGTTTTGGTACCCTGAGTTGGGGGGGGGTGGGACGCTGGCCCAGGTTGCCCAAAAAGAGGTGGGAGATGACCCACCATCCATGAGAACGTTCTGGTTCAGGTTGGATGGGGCTTTGAGAACCTGGTCTAGATGGAGATCATAGAATTATGGAATGGTTGGGGTTGGAAGGGACCTTAAAGATCATCTTTTCCCAACCCCCCTGGCACGGGGACACCTCCCCACCGGACCAGGTTGCTAAGATGTTCCTCCTCATGGCACGGAGGTTGGACTAGATGGCCTTCAGAGGTCCCTTCCTACCTAAACTGTGGTTGAACATGGATGGAGATGGGATGGGGAAGGGATGGATGGAGAAACGGGGGGTTGTCCAAGAAAAAGAAGTTGTTCCTGTTCCCCAGTTCCTCATATCCATGATGGGGAGAAGAAAAATGGTGTGTGGTTCTCCTTTGGCTCCTTCACAGCCTGGTTCTGGTTCTCCTGAGCCTGGCTGCTGGGTGGTTGAGGTGGCCTTTGAGGGTCCCTTCCCACCCAAACTGTCCATGAATCCGTGATCTCCTGCCTCAGTTTTGGGCTGGGAGGGGGCGCTGAGAGAGTTGGAGGGGTTCAGCCTGGAGAAGAGAAGGCTCCGGGGAGACCTTGGAGCCCCTTCCAGTCCCTCAAGGGGCTCCAGGAAAGCTGGGGATGGACTCTTGATGAGGGAGGGGAGTGATGGGACGAGGAGGGAGGGTTTTAAGATGAAAAAGGAGAGATTGAGAAGAAGGGAGGGTTTTAAGATGAAAAAGGAGAGATTGAGAAGAAATATTGGGAAGAACTTCTTCATTT